AATGTTGAGTGAAAGGTGGGGAGTTTTTTAATCAAGTGTGAGAGTAATGGTGGTTGGGATTTTTAATGCTAAAGTGGTAAAATGTTATGGAGGGAGTATAGGTAAATTTGGGGGTGCCCGGGGGAATGTAAAGGGGGCCCTTTAAATTAGCTTGGTGAAGAAATTTGGTAATAAGTAAAACATATTTTTATGAAAAAAAGGATAAATAAAATACAAGGGGGTGAGTAGCACGTAATGAAAATAGTTTATTAGATTTTGTATTGGTGGATAAAAGGTTGATGGGGAGGGTCCAGGGTGTAATGTTTATAGAGGGGGAAAAGATATATCATCATTTTTTTAGTTGTAGCTAAGTTAGAGTAAGAGGGAGATGGGGAAAAGAGGAAGGTGGCCAACAAGTAAGAGGGAGGTGAAAGTGTATAAACTAAGGGAGGAGGAAGTTCAGGTGAGATATAAGCGATATTGGCAGAAAGGTGGGCTAGTGCAAAGATGAGTAGTGGGGGGTTGAAGAGGGTTGGAATAGTTTTAAAAATGCAGTATTAGAATTGGGGCAGAAGTTTGTGGTTATAGGAGGGTGGGGGCAGAAGGAAGAGGAGTGATTGGTGGAATGATGAAAGTAAAGGGTGTGATAAAAGAGAAAAAGGTAGCTTATGAGAGGTTTTTACAAAGCAGAAGTGTTATAAGAAGAGCAGAGTATATGGAGAGTAAAAGAAAGGTAAAGAGATGGTGAGAGAGTGCAAAAGGAGAGCAGATGATAGAGTGGGAGAGGCACTGTCAAGAAATTTTAATGAAAATAAAAAAAAATTTTGGAGTGAGTTAAACAAGTTAAGAAAGCCTGGGGAAAATATGGATTTGTCAGTTAAAAACAGAGTGGGGATTTTAGTAAGATGGGGAGATGGAGGTATTGGGTAGATGGCGAGAATTTTTTTTGAGGAATTTTTTAAATGTTAAGGAAGAAACAGAGGCAGTAATTTCATGAAACGTGGTCAGGGAGGTATACCATCTTTTAGGAGTGAAGAAGAGCAAATGTAAGTGTGGGGGAGGTACGTGAGGCATTACGTAAAATAAAAAGGGGGTAAAGCAGCTGGAACTGATGGGATCATGACAGAAATGTTAAAAAGCAGGGGGGGATATAGTGTTGGAGTGGTTGGTACTTTTGTTTAATAAATGTATGAAAGAGGGGAAGGTCCCTAGGGATTGGCAGAGAGCATGTATAGTCCCTTTTTTATAAAGGGAAAGGGGAAAAAAGAGACTGTTAAAAATTATAGAGGAATAAGCTTACTGAGTATACCAGGAAAAGTGTAGGGGTAGGGTTATAATTGAAAGAATTAGAGGTAAGACAGAATGTAGGATTGCGGATGAGCAAGGAGGTTTTAGAGTGGGTAGGGGATGTGTAGATCAGGTGTTTACATTGAAGCATATATGTGAACAGTTTTTAAAGATAAAGTTTAGGGAAGTTTTTAATTGCATTTATGGATTTAGAAAAGGCATATGATAGAGTGGATAGAGGAGCAATGTGGCAGATGTTGCAAGTATATGGAATAGGTGGTAAGTTATTAAATGCTGTAAAGAGTTTTTATGAGGATAGTGAGGCTCGGGTTAGGGTGTGTAGAAGAGAGGGAGAATACTTCCCGGGTAAAAGTAGGTCTTAGACAGGGATGTGTAATGTCACCATGGTTGTTTAATATATTTATAAAATGGGGTTTGTAAAGGAAGTAAATGCTAGGGTGTTTGGAGAGGCGTGGGATTAAATTATGGGGAATCAAATTCAAAATGGGAATTGACACAGTTACTTTTTGCTGAAAGATACTGTGCTTTGGGAGATTCTAAAGAAAAATTGCAAAGGTTAGTGGATGAGTTTGGGAAAGTGTGTAAAGGTAGAAAATTGAAAGTGAACATAGAAAAGAGTAAGGTGATGAGGGTGTCAATGATTTAGATAAAGAAAAAAAAATTTGGGTATCAAATTGGGGAGGGGGGAGTATGGAAGAAGTGAATGTTTTCAGATACTTGGGAGTTGACGTGTCGGCGGATGGATTTATGAAGGATGAGGTTAATCATAGAATTGATGAGGGAAAAAAGGTGAGTGGTGCGTTTTAGGTATATGTGGAGTCAAAAACGTTATCTATGGAGGCAAAGAAGGGAATGTATGAAAGTATAGTGTACCAACACTCTTATATGGGTGTGAAGCTTGGGTGGTAAATGCAGCAGCGAGGAGACGGTTGGAGGCAGTGGAGATGTCCTGTTTAAGGGCAATGTGTGGTGTAAATATTATGCAGAAAATTCGGGGTGTTTGGAAATTAGGAGAAGGTGTGGAGTTAATAAAAGTATTAGTCAGAGGCAGAAGAGGGGTTGTTGAGGTGGTTTTGGGCATTTTGAGAGAATGGATCAAAGTAGAATGACATGGAAAGCATATAAATCTATAGGGGAAGGAAGGAGGGGTAGGGGGCGTCCTCGAAAGGGTTTTGGGGAGAGGGGGTAAAGGAGGTTTTGTGGGTAAGGGGCTTGGACTTCCAGCAAGCGTGCGTGAGCTGTTTTGATAGGAGTGAATGGAGACGAATGGTACTTGGGACCTGGGCGATCTGTTGGAGTGTGAGCAGGGTAAAATTTAGTGAAGGGATTCAGGGAAACCGGTTATTTTTATATAGTCGGACTTGAGTCCTGGAAATGGGAAGTACAATGCCTGCACTTTAAAGGAGTGGTTTGGGATATTGGCAGTTTGGGGGATATGTTGTGTATCTTTATACGTATATGCTTCTAAGCTGTTGTATTCTGGGCACCTCTGCAAAAGCAGTGATAATGTGTGAGTGTGGTGAAAGTGTTGAATGATGATGAAAGTATTTTCTTTTTGGGGATTTTCTTTCTTTTTTGGGTCACCCTGCCTCGGTGGGAGACGGCCGACTTGTTGAAAAAAAAAAAAAAAAAAAAATACTCTGCTCTTCTTATAACACTTCTGCTTTGTAGAAAACTCTCAAAAGCTAACGTTTTCTCTTTTATCATACCCTTTACTTCATCATTCCACCAATCACTCCTCTTTCCTCCTGCCCCCACCCTCCTATAACCACAAACTTCTGCCCCACATTCTAATACTGTACTGCATTTTTAAAACTCATCCAACCCTCTTCAACCCCCCCACTACTCATCTTTGCACTAGCCCACCTTTCTGCCAATAGTCGATTATATCTCCCCCGAACTTCCTCCTCCCTTAGTTTATACACTTTCACTTCCCTCCTACTTGTTGTTGCCACCTTCCTCTTGTCCCATCTACCTCTTACTCTAACTGTAGCTACAACTAAATAATGATCCAATATATCAGTTGCCCCTCTATAAACATGTACATCCTGGAGCCTACCCATTAACCTTTTATCTGCCAATACATAATCTAACAAACTACTTTCATTACGTGCTACATCATACCTTGTATATTTATTTATCCTCTTTTTCATAAAATATGTATTACTTATTACCAAATTTCTTTCTACACATAGCTCAATTAAAGGCTCCCCGTTTACATTTACCCCTGGCACCCCAAATTTACCTACTACTCCCTCCATAACATTTTTACCCACTTTAGCATTGAAATCTCCAGCCACAAGTACTCTCCCATTTGGTTCAAAACTCCCCATGCATTCACTCAACATTTCCCAAACTCTCTCTCTCTCTCCTCTACACTTCTCTCTTCTCCAGGTGCAGATACACTTACTATAACCCACTTTTCACATCCAATCTTTATTTTACTCCACATAATCCTTGAATTAATAGATTTATAGTCCCTCTTTTCCTGCCATATCTTATCCTTCAACATTATTGCTACTCCTTCTTTAGCTCTAACTCTATTTGAAACCCCTGACCTAATCCCATTTATTCCTCTCCACTGAAACTCTCCTATCCCCTTCAGCTTTGTTTCACTTAAAGCCAGGACATCCAGCTTCTTCTTATTCATAACATCCACAATCATCTCTTTCTTATCATTTGCACAACATCCATGCCCATTCAGACTTCCCATTTTGACAATTTTCTTCTTCTTATTCTTTTTAGTAATCTTTACAGGAAAAGGGGTTACTAGCCCATTGTTCCCGGCATTTTAGGTGACTTTTACAACACGCATGGCTTACGGAGGAAAGATTCTTATTCCACTTCCCCATGGATATAAAAGGAAAAGTATTAAGACCAAGAACTATTAGGATAAAATCAAAGAAAACTCAGATCTTCTTCTTCTTCTTTCAACGTACCAGCCTTATCCCACTGAGGTGGGGTGGCCCAAAAGAAAAAACTGAAGTTTCTCCTTTTAAATTTAGTAATATATACAGGAGAAGGGGTTACTAGCCCCTTGCTCCCGGCATTTTAGTCGCCTCTTACGACACGCATGGCTTACAGAGGAAGAATTCTGTTCCACTTCCCCATGGAGATAAGAGGAAATAAACAAGAACAAGAATTAGAAAGAAAATAGAAGAAAACCCAGAGGGGTGTGTATATATATGCTTGTACATGTATGTGTAGTGTGACCTAAGTGTAAGTAGAAGTAGCAAGACTTACCTGTAATCTTGCATATTTATGAGACAGACAAAAGACACCAGCAATCCTACCATCATGTAAAACAATTACAGGCTTTCGTTTTACACTCAGCAACCGCCCAGGGAGGTACTCCCTGGGCGGTTGCTGTCTAACAACCTACTACCATATTTGATATTAATATTTGATATATATAAAAAAGTGCAAGGGAGCAAGGGCCTAGTAACCCCTTCTTCTGTATACATTACTGAAGTGGCCAGTTTGCTGAAAGAAGAAAAAATTCCAAGCAGTATTACCATTTAGATCCCACAAAAAAAGTCCATCTATTATTACTTTATCTACAGTGTACCAATCTATATAATAAACTTAAGAAATCCTAGCTGACCAAGTACATAATTATTAAAAGTGTTCATACATTCTCTTCTCTACGCAGCATTACACAAACAACCATGAAGATCCAAGAAAGCTTGCAAATAAAAGAATAAAGCTCATACCTGACATCTCAAAATCAGAGTCTTCGTCATTATCGGAGTGTGCCTCCCGGAACCTCCTTTTAGCCGCTCGTTGAGCAGCTTGTCGTACTGTGTTAAAATTTAAAAAGATAATTAGTGTTCTTAATAACATACTGTACAGTACACATAAATATTACTGGTAATTAAAAACAGAAATTATAAAAAAAAATTTAGGTTTTTCCAAATACACCTACCATCCGACTTACGACCTGCTCGACATACGTCCACTCGACTTACGACCATGCATCTGGCAGCTGGGCTGGGCTGGCTGATGCACACCACTGTACAATATTTGACAATACTCGCGGTGGCAATGTGTCATGCAGGCAGCATCAGTTTGAGTAACCCTGCCCTATCAGCAGCATCATACTGTATTAACTGGACAGTAAATTTCACCATGGCCCCCAAGATGAAGTCTGAATCTTGCACTGGAGATTGTGGCAAGAAAGGCTCTTACTCTCGAACTCTATTTCTTTTCACTGTTGCACATAAACCTGTCTGTATCTGTCTGCCTGTATATCTGTCTGTATCTCTGTGTGTCTGTCTGTCTACTAGTGTGTGTCTTTCTGTCTACCTGTGTGGCTGTCTTTCTGTCTACCTGTGTGTCTTTCTGTCTACCTGTGTCTGTCTACCTGTGTCTGTGTCTACCTGTGTGTCTGTCTTTCTGTCTGCCCTGTCTACCTGTGTGTCTGTCTTTGTCTGCTTGTCTGTCTCAGAGCCACCATTAAGAGTGTACTTGGTCTTGAAGTTTGCCAATTTAATAATGATAATAACAATAATAATCACTGAGGCCATTAAATGTGTATAAAACGTAAATATAGACATTTTGCTTAATCCATCTATGATTTTTTTTTTTCAAAATTATATAATAAACATGCTACATAACATATAAATTAACAAATACGAGATGTTTTTCTGGTCGGCTTGACAGTGAACGGGAACCGTTCGTGTCCGGGCTGGTAACAACAACAACAACAACAACAACAACAACAACAACAACAACAACTTTTGTTTACATAACCGTGGACATTCTACATTCTCATTCTCTCTCTCATTTATTCATTTAATCTTGTTTACTCCACCTCTCACTCTACATTAAAACTACAGATATTTTAAGGTAAGGGAAAGAGTGGACACGATTATTATATTATAGCTTAATAATAATAAAATTAGTAACATATGTATTATTGTAATAATAATGATTATTAATATTTTTATTAATTTAGGGCACTGGAGCCCCAGATCCACTGTATAGCACTTTTGTCGGATTTTTGGGTTATCCTAGGTAATTTAAATATGTATGATAACTTGACTTAAAGTGTACCAGTGAGAGAGAGAGAGAGAGAGAGAGAGAGAAGAGAGAGAGAAGAGAGAGAGAGAGAAGAGAAGAGAGAGAGAGAGAGAGAGAGAAGAGAGAGAGAGAAGGAAGGGGAGGGGAGAGAGAGAGAGAGAGAAAGATAGATAGATAGATAGAGAGAGAGATAGATAGAGAGATAAAAAGAGAAGAGGAGAGAGAGAGAAGAGAGAGAGAAGGGGAGATAGAGAGAGAGAAAAGAGAGAGAGAGGGAGGGGAGAGAGAGAGAGAAGAGAGGAGAGAGAGAGAGAAGAGGGGAGAGGGGAGGAGAGATAGAGAAAAGAGATAGAGAGAGAGATAGAGAGAGAGATAGAGAAAAGAGATAGAGAGAGATAGAGAGAGAGAGAGAGAAAAGAGAGAGATTAGAGAGAAAAGATAGAGAGAGAGAGATAGAGAGAGATAGAGAGAGAAAAGAGAGAGGAGAAAAGAGAAAAGAGAGAGAGAAAAGAGAGAGATAGAGAGAGATAGAGAGAGAGAAAATAGAGAGAGAGAGAGAGAAGATAGAGAGAGAGATAGAGAGAGAGAGAGAGATAAGAGAGAGAGAGAGATAAAAGAGAGAGAGAGATAGAGAGAGAGAGAGGGGAAAATAGAGAGAGGAGAGATAACAGAGAGAGAGAGATACAGAGAGAGAGGAGATACAGAGAGAGAGAGAGATACAGAGAGAGAAGAGATACAGAGAGAAGAGATAAAAGAGAGAGAGAGAGATACAAGAAGAGAGATACAGAGAGAGAGAGATACAGAGAGAGAGATACAGAGAGAGAGAGAGAGATACAGAGAGACAGAGAAGAGAGAGATACAGAGAAGAGAGATACAGAGAGAGAGAGATACAGAGAGAGAGAGATTACAGAAGGAGAGATACAGAGAGAGAAAAGAGAGAGAGAGAGAGATACAGAGAGAGAGAGAGATACAGAGAGAAGGGGAAAAGAGATATACAGAAGAGAGAGAGAGAGATACGAGGAAAAGAGAAGTACAAGAGAGGATACAAAGACAGCCACATTCGGTCAGCCAGTCAGCCAACTACCCACCCCCCCCATCCAGCACCCAGCCAACCACCCACCCAACACCACCCACCCATCCAGCCACCCACCCATCATCCACCCACCGGCCACCCACCCATCCAGCCGCAGCCACCCCCCCACGGCCAACGACAGACCCGGCCACCCAGCCAGCCAGCCGGATACTATTACACATGTTCCAAGTTGTTTTTTCTTTACTTAGGGTATTTCGTTATACAACATTCTGGCAGGTGACACTACCAGTGGGTTCTCCCCATTCCACTGTGTCGAAAAATACATAAAGATAATAGTAACATATGATACGTATGCGATGTAAAATTTACAATACATATCACTACCATGTATACATTATATACAGTACATAAATAAATAAAATACAACAATAGAAGTAAATTATGGTAAAAAGAATGAAATAATGATTGTACATTACATTACAGTACTATGTAGGTAGTTTATATAGGAAAGTTTTGACATTATGCCATACCCAATATGACGGCAATTTTCAAAGGTTCGACTTACGTCCATTTCGACTTACGACCGGTTGGTCGGAACCAAGCTTGGTCGTAAGTCGGATGGTAGGTGTACACTGTAAGATGAGACCTTCAAATTCTTATACATGAATGATGATTTTGGAGAGGTACACAGGCTTTAAAAATAGTAAATTTGGAATGAAGTGGGAGTTGCCATAGTTGCTCTTTGATAATGACAGTTCTTGGCATTCAGAAAAGTAGTTATAGACATTGGCAGTTTGGGAAGGTATTTAAAAAAACACATAAGTTGAAAGTGAACAAAGACATGAAAGAGTAAGGTGGCAAGAGTACCTAGATACCTAAACAAAGAAAGAGTAGATGTGCAGTACAAAAGGGCCTCGTTTATACAGCAAGTTAGATTCCAGGCTACTACTGTCAAGTGAAAATATCTATAAAGTGAAACATAGCCTCTTTTCAATTTCCAATGCATATAAAAGCCTGATAACATGTTTACATTACATGTATATTAAGAGCAACAGAGCTAGGTCTAAGAAATGCATATACAGTACACACAATACTTAAAAATATTTTAATCCTTAGCTTTCAGGGAGTGGTTTACCTAGAGTTTACCTGGAGAGGGTTTCGAGGGTCAACACCCCCGCAGCTTGACCTGAGACCAGGCCTCATGGTGGATCAGGGTCTGATCAACCAGGTAGGTGCCTGTCCAGTGCCTTCTTGAAGACAGCCAGGGGTCTGTTGGTAATCTCTCTTATGTATGCTGAGTTGAACAGTCTTGGGCCCCAGACACTTATTGTGCTGTCTCTATATGTACTCGTGGTACCCCTGCTTTTCATTGGGGAAATGTTGCATCTCCTGCAGGTTTGCTACCAATCCCTTCAAGACCTTCTAATTGTATATTATCAGGTATCTCTCTCGCCTGTGTTCCAGGGAATACAGATCAAGGACCTTCAACCGTTCCCAGTAATTTAGGTGCCTTATCGTACTTATGTGTATGCTCTCCAGGTCTTCAATGTCGCCAGCCTTGAAGGGGGCCATTAGTGTACAGCAGTATTCCAGCCTAGAGAGAATAAGCGATTTGAAGAGTGTCATCATAAGCTTGGCGTCCCTAGTTTTGAAGGTTACATAAGAACATAAGAAAGGAGGAACACTGCAGGAGGCCTGTTGGCCCATACTAGGCAGGTCCTTTACAACTCATCCCACTAACAAAACATTTGCCCAACCCAATTTTCAATGCCACCCAAGAAATAAGCTCTGATGTGAAAGTCCCACTCAAATCCAACCCCTCCCACTCATGTACTTATCCAACCTAAATTTGAAACTACCCAAAGTCCTAGCCTCAATAACCCAACTAGGTAGACTGTTCCACTCATCAACTACCCTATTTCCAAACCAATACTTTCCTATGTCCTTTCTAAATCTAAACTTATCTAATTTAAATCCATTACTGCAGGTTCTCTCTTGGAGAGATATCCTCAAGACCTTATTAATATCCTCTTTATTAATACCTATCTTCCACTTATACACTTCGATCATGTCTCCCCTCATTCTTCGTCTAACTAGTGAATGTAATTTAAGGTTTCAGGTATGTATTGCTACTTCTACTTACACTTAGGTCACACTACACATACATGTACAAGCATATATATACACACCCTGCTGGGTTTTCTTCTATTTTCTTACTAGTTCTTGTTCTTGTTTATTTCCTCTTACCTCCATGGGGAAGTGGAACAGAATTCTTCCTTCGTAAGCTATGCGGGTTGTAAGAGGCAACTAAAATGCCAGAAGCAGGGGGCTAGTAACCCCTTCTCCTGTATATATTACTAAATGTAAAAGGAGAAACTTTCGTTTTTCCTTTTGGGCCCCCCCGCCTCAGTGGAATACGGCCAGTGTGTTGAAACAAAAATATAGATACATCTACCAACTTTTCCTGTTATGCCTTTATCACACATTTTGTGTGTTATTACACCATGGTCACACTTGTCGAAAGCTTTTGCAAAGTTTGTGTTTACTACATCTGCATTTTGTTTATCCTCAACAACATCCAGGACCCTTGTCATAGTGGTCCAGGAACTGGGACAGGCAGGAGCAGCCTGCTCTAAACCCATGTTGCCCTGGGTTGTGTGACTGATGGGTATCTAGGTGGTTGGCAGTCTTGCTTCTTAGAACCCTCTCAAAGATTTTTATGATATGGGATATTAGTGCTATTGG